TATGTGCTCTTAAATTTATATTCATTTGTTCTTCATTGAAATGTCAAATGGTAGTCTGCTTCAATTTGTAAATGCTATCTCAGGTGTTGTTGATGATAATTCGTCTTCCTTTTAACTAGGAAGACCAGCATCCTAGAAAAAAAAACAAAAAGTAGAAGAGAAATAATTTTCAGTCAACTGTCAACTAGGGTTTCTATTCATAATGCTTATTCAAATTAATTTTCTTAATTGAATTATTTGTTTATTCGAATAGAATCCCTAGTAACAGTTGAACTCAGATGCACGTTTTCCTGGTTCTTCCGTTTATGCAGAGTTCTATATCCCACTTAAGAAAAAAGCAAAGATTTTAATCACATCACATTACTAAATTTTGAAACCTGTAACCCTATGTGACACGACGTTCACATTATTATCCCCTAAACGGTTAATCGGCTATTGATAGCCGATAAAAATTTTCCGATAAAATTTTTTTCTGAGGGCATCACTTTCTAATACGAAAATGATCTTTGAGATTCTATAAATAAAAATCCGCTTGTTTTTTACTCTTTGAAATGATTGACGTTATACGTTATACATATCGTTATTTATTTTATTAATTTATATATATATTATTTATTATTTTACTAAATCTAATTATTTTTCACTATTCGTTCATTTGATCTTTCCTTACCTTTTTGGTTTTATTTTTTTATTTTTTTTTATTTTTTATCTACCACGTCCATCTATCGGAGAGGTTTCTTTTCTTTTGTTTGCTGCGGTCTAACCCTTTGATCAACTAAAAATAATGTACAATAATAAAAAATAATAATAAATGATATAATAAATAAATTGTTTGTTTATGTCGCAAACAAAGTAGTCTATCTATATATATATACAACAAACAAAAATTACGCTAGTACTAAAGTGTATGATTATTATTAAGTAAAATACCGTCGTCGCGTAATAAAAATCACATTTGGTCAATGAATGAATGTGCCGTTGCAAATTTTTTGTTCAGTTCGCGAATTAGTCATTTTTTTCGATTGTGATTTTTGATTGTGATCCTTCTTCCCTTTAAGTGAGTTGGTTATTTTTTTTGATTGATATATCAACTGTTTGTATTTATCGATCAAGCAAAATTCTTTTCAATTCAACAACTCTCTTTCCGATAAAACGATAAATAAAAAATAACACAATAATACTTTGGCTTATCTTTTCTTTATCTTTGACTTTTTTTTTCTGAAAAAATGCCATCAATTAATGTGCGTCATTTGTTTTTTTTTTTTTCCCACAAGCTCACTTCCGTCCTATATAAGGAATGAATTTTCACAATTTGATTTCAATTTTTTTTATACAGTTTAAAATACTTTTACAAGGGTATTACGTAGCCCATTCTTGCAATAAATCATGTGTAAATAATTACACAAATTTGATTGAAACTTTACTATTACACTTTGTTATCATCATATCTTTTGAATCCCTTTGAATCTCACAGCTTCCATAATACGATTTGCTCGAAGAAAAATTGTCTGAAATTAAACATTGCATGGAATGTAAAATCAGCTAAATTTCGTCAACTGAAAGGCAATTGTGGACAGAAAGTGTTGTTTTATGTAACATTTGTTTGATTTTTCATGCGTTGTTCATTTTCCGTCTCGATCATGCATCTTAATTTCTTTGAAGACAACAAATAGGAGTACAATGTCAGGTACAAAAAAGTATATGTCAACAAATTATCTTGATGCCTTCAATAAATGTGATACATCTTATCAATATTCTGAATGGGATGAATTAGAATCTTTGGGATGGTTTTTTATGGACATTCGAGGACATCTGAATGTACACAGTTTACTTGAGCGTGAACAAAAAGTTAAACAATATCAAAATGAAATTGATGTGAGATTTCTTAATGAAACTAAGAAAAGAAATCAAAATGCAGACAACTTAATTAGCTTTCTTCAGGAGGAAATGGGAAAGACTGGGGTTGACCAAATCATTGCAGTTGAAAATGCAAGAAGACCAATTAAGAAGAAAAAAATTCAATAATCATTATGATAATTTTATCAGGATATTTACTTTGAAAAACCCTTATTCATTGTCAATAAATAAACATTATGTTTTTTTGCTATCCTAAATATATTGAACAATTGTTTTGTTAATATTGTTGGGTTTTTACCCATTCTCATTGTCATTATCATCATTATTAGAGCTCCGAACAAGTCAGATCAGGTCAGTGGTTCAACCAGACCTGACTCAAACTTTTAAACAGTTGACCCAACCCAACCCATCGGGTCAACAGGTCACAGATTAAGAAAATTACAAATGTAGATAGATTTAAATATATACAGTACACACAATATGTTCACTATTACTGCCCAACATCATTGCTTGTTTATTTACATTAACATCAATTTTATTTTTATGATTCTTAAGATGATGACTTAAATTTGAA